AAAAAAAAAAAAAGATGGCATAACAATTCGTAAAATACAACTGCTCAGACAGTGTAGAAGGATGAAAAACAAGGTGTATTTGATTTACCCAGTGAATACCACACGAATGCATTACCATTGACTATAAATTAAAACATATACCAGGCAAAATTATCAAGCTTCATGAATCGGATTGTACCTCCAAAACCAGGAATTATGCCGAGCTGAAGTTCAGGCAATCCTAATTGAGCATTGGGGGTAGATATACGTGCATGACAGCCCTAAAGCAAGAACATAGAAATTTATTCATGAACTTTGGTTAGTTTGCATTTGGATTGAAGGATTGAGTACTGTAGAAGAGATTTTCAAATGACCAACTATAAATGGATTTGAAATCCACCATAATTACTAAAACAAATATATCGATATACAACTGCACTTATTTTGGAGTCTACTATAGTACAAGTTTGAGACCAATGGAATTTTATTGTGCATTAGAAGACCTTAGTTTCAAACCTATAATCCAAACAAAGCCTAAGCACTCATCCAACAGAGAGAGAGAAAAAAAAGTAATAAATAAATAAAAAAATTTTTAAAAAAAAAAAAGGCATAACTTACCATTGCAACCTCTAACCCTCCACCCAGGGCAAGACCATCAACGGCAGCCACAAAAGGTTTCTTGGCAGCTGGAAAATAAAGTAATCAAAGAATTAAATTAGATTGTTGATACATCAGAAAATAAGAAAAAAGCCCTCTGCAACAGGAAGCAACACCACTCAAATATTTGACAGAACAAAAAATGAAAATAACAAACCTGCTACAAGGTCGCTGAGAATCTCCAAAGATACAAAACCAGGTTTTGGAGCTTGGACTGTGAGCAAACAACGCCAGTCGCTCAGATTAGATACTTGAAGCAAGAAATTAAAAACAAGACACAGAGAACATTACATACTTGTTTTATCTTGAATTTTTCCGAATGCACTTATGTCAAAACCACCAGAAAACTTTCCTTGTGCACCTGCCGAAGCACAATAACATTATCATCATACAACATGCATCTCAGAAGCGTACAACTTCAAGACTTCTCCGTACCTGTGACAACAATTGCCTTCACATCATCTCTCCTCAAGGCCTGTTCACAGGAGTCTTTTAAGCTGTACAAAACTAAAGACAATACAGAAAAGATGTAAGTGTGTGCTTGATAGGCCGAAATCATCAAGCATAAGTCCTTGCAACTACTATAAACATGGTTCCAAATTGAAGCCATCAAGAACTGTATATACACGGATGGAACTCCAAGCATGTGCGCATCCAGGCTACACTCATGAGTAGATGTATTGTGTTTCATCAGGAAAAAAAAAAATAAATAAAGATGAAAGACTGTTCTTTTATTAACTTTAGCTGACTGAAAACCGAAAAGTTACAGGCAACTTCTGCTGCTTGTTGAATTTAGCTGATAAAAGCTGAAAGTGTTATCAACCTTTCCACGATCTTCATCTAAGAAACCATTTATACAGAAGTTCTAAAAATAGAAGATACTAGAAAAGAAAAAAAAGCATAAGCATTTTGATCTAGTTTTAACGAAAATTGTCGAGCTTTGTGCATAAATGAAATTATGAGAGACTGGTCCATTTTTAATGATCTTCTTCTCTCCTCCGAGAAACAAATATATCCAAACACAGCTCTCAAAGCTTCAGCAATGAACATTTCAACAAATAGTAACTAGCAAAGATATCCTTAAATTTGAAGCACATACTAGACATTAAAGCCTTATACAACATAAAATTCTCCCTTACTCCCAACAAGATAAATAAAATATAATACCAGAATTTTTTCACCTACAGCTAAACATTCACAAGGTAGACAAAATGAAAATTTATAAGCTTATGATCTCTACACAGCGGAGAACATATCCTCTAGAATACCAAAAAACCAACATTACAGTACACAGATGGCAATCAACACATAACCCAAATCTAAATTAACACAAAATAAATAAATAACAAAAAAAAAATACCCATCAAATGAAACTAAGAATTCAAGACTTGTAAAAGGGATCAAAATTCCAGATCAATTAATTATTAACTTTCGAAAAAACACTGTACCATCAAACGAAAGAGAGTTGACAGGCGGGTTGATGATGGTGATGATGGCGATCCCATCAGCTCCCACATCAAGAGTCGTTCTTCCCTTTGAGCTGCTCATTATCCCTTTATCTATTTTCTTTTAATTTCTGGAAAATTTTCCCTTCACCTCAAGAAAATGGGATCGTTCTAAAATGATGAATTATATGTGGATTATTTATTGTGAAGAACCAACGCAAGCAAGGAGGAGGTGTCGTGCTGTGCCGTCTGAAAAGTAACTTTGGGATTCTAAATTTTGGATATGGATCACTTTTACTATAATTTTTTATTAGGTGTAGTGTGAAGGATTCGTGAATAGTGTGTCATTCGGCAATTTTATATACTCGCGTAGTCGCATTCTCATTTTTTTTATGGCGCTTGTAATTTGTCATTTTATGTTTTAGTTCTTAAAAGAACGTAAGAAATTGTGGGAAGAACGGGTGCTTGCCAGTAACATAAAGTGCACTATAAGTAGGGAAAGTCTATATGAAACCTTTAGAGCATCTCCAATTGTGTATGTTGTTGTGAAATTAATTTTGCCTAAGTGTCAATTAAGTAAAGGTGATGTGAATCCATATCATATGGATGTTGAGTCCACAACTTTCAAAATTTTATGTGTTCCTCAATGCACAATGTGAACAACTCCTAAATATTATGGGCTTTTGAAGATTTATTTTATTTTGGGCTTCAGTTTTCAATAAACCCAAATTTTAGGCCCCTCTTTTGTTTATATATGTCAGTTTTGCAGGCAATCAGCACTTACATTTTCAGATCAGCGGTTCAGGTGGGGACTCAGATTAAGTACTACATTGATTATAATTACGCTACCATGTTTGAGGTATGTATTATCAGTATCCGTTCGGAATGGTCGCCGGTCCATTCTGGGTTCTAGTGTCCTTAATCTGCCCACTAGAGTGTGCACATGGTGTCCGGCTTATGCTGGCAGATGTTCAGTTATCAGTCAGGTGATTTATATCACGAGATATCAGATTATGCAGTACCGGTATCAGATATCAGTTTCAGTTTCAGTTCAGTTATATATGCCAGGATCATGATATTGTAATTATTTTCACTGTTTACTTTAGTATGAGTTTCTGCGGAGCACAGTGGATTAGTGCTCACGCCCCCACGTTATTCATGTTTTTTTTTCAGGTCACAGAGTCGGAGCCGAGGAGTGAGCGGGCGACCGGTTCAGGATATTTGTTTATATGTACATATTATGTGTGGCTACACTATGACTCCGCTACTATTTTCAGTACATTAAACCAGCTTTTGACCCGACATTAGTCGATTAATATATCATATGACCGTTTTATTATTAAACTAAAAAATTAACGGTTTCCAAAATAAGTCAGATTATTACGGTAGCACCCCGAATCAGATTTCGCAAAAGAAATA